TGATTTCAAAACATGATTTCTCAGTGCTTTCTGCATTGATTTCCTTTGGTCCAAGTGATAGCCAGTTTTATTTTAAATCAGTCATTTTCTTAAAAGCATACCTTACCCAGGTTATTGCTGCCTCCTGAACTGGTCTTGGAGAGAACTCTGTCCCTGGGTCCGAGGCCACAGCACAACCTCCTGGGCACTCCAGGACTTGGGTCAGAGCCCTTCTGCGTGAGACCTGGGCCTCTGACATCAACCCTCCAATCTCAGCCCTGCTACCAACATTGGTTGGTGTCCGGGGCAAAGCATCTAACCTAGCCACACTTTATTTATTGGTTTCTAAATGTTGAAATGATAATAACATACTATATAGCAAACTCATGTCAGTGTATATTTGTCTGCTGGCAGATTACGTTCAGTGAAGATTAGATGGGCTTCCCTGACACTCAGGACACTTCTGGGCCACTTTCCCCAAATGCTTAATCAGGCTGCCCAATGGTAAACAAATGGATAAAGAAGAGGTGTACATATATACAGTGGAATAGTACTCAGCCATATAAAAGAATGAAATCTTGCCATTTGAGACAACATGGATGGACCTAGAGGGTATTATGCTAAGTAAAATAAGTCAAACAGAGAAAGACAAGTACCATATGATTTCACTTATATGTGGAATCTGAAAAACAAACAAACAAAGAAACAAAGAAAACAGAAACAGACTCATAGGCACAGAGAACAAGCTGATGCTTGCCAAAGCGGGTGAGAGTGGGGTATAAGTGAGAAAGGTGAAGGGGAATAAGATGCACAAACTTCTAGTTAAAAAATAAATAAGCCATGGGGCATATGCACATATGCACAGTGATAAGCAGTTAACAGACTTATCGTGGTAATCGCATCATAAGGTATATAAATGTAGAATGACTATGTTATACATCTAAAACTAATATAATATTGTATGTCAACTACGCTTTAATAAAAAAAAAAGTGTTGAGGAATTACAAACAAATGTTGCCATTGGCCTTGGCAAAACGATGCTGTTATGCTGTTTCAAAACATGTTTAGCATTTTCTCTTACCCATGAGCTAGATTGAAAATGTTACTGCCTTTCTTTCATGGATTTTATGTTAAATGTCACTTAAGTCAAATGTGGGTTTAACTCAAAGAGAGAATAACCTTACAAAAAGATCCACAGAAAGACTGAAAGAGAAAGCATCCCAATAACAGTTACACAGTGTTTGTGTTTTAAACAAAACCACACACAGGTCTTCAGAAAGACAGTTCATGCAGAAAGTAAGATATAACGATGTACGCCATTTATCCCAGCTCAGAGCCCACTTCCTTCAAACTGCTTTCACATGCTGCTCAAACGAAGAAAACTCTCCTCTCCTCTGGTCATCTAGCATATGAGGAAACTACTGTGGGTCCTTTGTGTATTAGTTTGCTAGCGCTGCCATGAAACGTGCCACAGACTGGGTGGCCCTAACAACAGAAATTTATCTCTCACAGTTTTGGAGGCCAGAAGTCCAGGATCAAAGTGTTGGCGGGTTTAATTTCCAGTGAGACCTCTCTCCTTGGCTTTGAGATGGCAGCCTTCTCACCGTGTCCTCATGTGGCCTTTTCTCTGTGCACGCACATCCCTGGTGTCTCTGCTTCTTAAAAGGATATCAGTCATATTGAATTAGGGCCCCATTCTAATCTCCTCATTTTAATTTACCTCTTTAAAGGCAAGTGTCCTCATGTGCAAATGTCTCTGGGTATGATGTGTCTTGCACCTACTGAATGAACGTGAAGGCTTGGAGCAGGATTACAGGTTGAGAGATGCCGAGCTGAGATGCCAGGTTGCATTCTGAAGTATTGGGGGGTTGGGATTTCAACCCACAATTTTTGGACGGACACATTCAGCTCTTGTCATTCTTTTTAGAATATTAGTAGGTACATGTGTCTCTCCTTCTCGACTAGAATGTAGGATTCTTGAGTGAAAGGCCCTGTTTTTTGTTTTGTTTTGTTTTTGCTTTCTTTTTTTTTTAAGCCTACCCGGTATTCCCAGGCAGTCTCCTATTCAAGAACTAACCAGGTCCAACCCTGCTTAGCTTCCGAGACCAGACGAGATCGGGCGCATTCAGAGTGGTATGGCCGTGGGCTGAAAGGCCCTGTTTTAAGATTTGTTTGTCCCCAGTATTCGATTGTTTGATGGATCTTCCTGATTATTACTAAAATTTTTGTTCATATTTGTTTCGACACAAATATATTTTGAAGGAGAAAATAAATCAGTTGCGGTGGCTCCGTGTCAGATAATTTCCAAGGTGCTTTACAAATCCTGTGACTGTTCATTTCTCATCACCACCACATGGCTTCCCGTGAAACTCTTCTTCCTAGGAGCTTCAGTCATTTGCTTCATTTCTTAATGTAGGAGTCTTAAGAAGTGCCAGTCCTATTTCTAACTCTCTATACGTTGCTTATGTTCATGTCTGCATCTGGCAACAGCTGAGATCCTGGCCTGTTTGTTTAGGACCCAGAAGCTGAGAAAACTGAAGCTCAGGGCAGTGGGAAGGCCTGCCCCAAGTCTTCCAGGGTCATCTTGACCCTGCGAGGATTCAACCAAGGTGTTCCAGCTGCAGGTGAAAACACTCATCTCTGAACAGAGACCCATCCTTCCTCGTTACGAAAAGAGAGGAACACCAAGGGCTTTGTGTCTTTTGGGGAACAAGTCATATAATGAAGTGACATCATAGTCTCACTTATGAATTCTGAGGAACTCTAAAACATCATATCCTTTAGTACCAAAAGGATCTAGCATGATTCTTTTGTTGGTTCATAAAATGCTCAGATGCTTAAACCATATGTTTAAGTATAATTCCCAAAGGTTATATTCTCTTTTATTTAAAGAAAGAAAGAGGAATCGTTCAACATCAGGTAGAAAAATAAGCATGGATATTAGGGAAAATAATACAAACTTAACCCCAAATCAGTTCCAGGATGGTGGAGATAATACTAGCTTCATGGCCTGGCATCTCCCAGCCTGCAATCCTGCTCCAAGCCTTCACGTTCACTCAGAAGGTGCAAGACACATCATACCCAGAGACACTTGCACATGAACATGAGCTTTACAAGACACATCCTGTGTATAGTATTGCTTCTGTAAAGGGGGAAAAGTCGACTTAAGGCTTTCAAAGTGGATTACATTTTCAAAAGGATACATTTTACCATCTGAAAATATATAAGCATAACACGTACGGAGGTCTTGTGACTTCCTCTGGCTAGACTTGGTTTGAAAGTGAAGGTGAGAGCTTTGTCAAACGCTTGTGGGACTACACTATGCCACCATGGAAAAGAGGAGTGAAAATGCCCATCTCTGAACAGAAAGCGTGTCTCTGCGTGACTGAGACTCGGTGAAAATTATTCCTTGTGCCAAGATCAGGAAGGAGAGTCTGACCAACAAAAGGCAGTGTCACTGGCTTGTTTTCTCTGTGGAGATTGTAATGGTCCCTTTTTACTCACTGGAGTCTGAATTTCTAAAATGGATTTTGTTCATTTTCCACTGAGATCAGGAAAGTTGCACGTGGCAGTTTATGAATTGGGTCTCCTAGCAAGGCTCTGAAAGGCAATTGGAGTGGGGGTGGTCTGCGTGTGTGAAACTCCCTGGACAGAACTGACATCGGGCTGTGATGCACAATAACATCTATGTGTGACCCAGCTGCCTGCAAACTGCTCCCCTGCAAAGGGAGAAGCATGCCAAGTGAGCAGTAGAGGACTTTTGTATATTCTCTTTATCTTAGAGACGCCGGTTGTTTGTTGGGGGAAATTAAAAAGAAAGAAAGAAAGAAGCAAATACATTCTTCAATTGTGTGCAGTCCGGATTTTGTTTTCTTTCTATGCTTTCATTTCTAATTCACCAAAGTGTCTTTCCCCTTTAATTTTATGACATTTTTAGGTACACATGCATATAGTACCTATGCACGAAGTCACAGTTATCAATTGTCTTTCCAGACTCCTATGGCTTTGCTGTACTGTGGAAACCCATAACGAGATAAAAAGTTCTCATCCCCTTCCTGTTAAGATAATTTATAGAATTTTCCCTGTGCTCAGACTACATAGCACAGTTCAGCATAAGCAGCAATAACAGTGCATTCTTAACAGCTTCCCTGGACAGTTTGCTAAATTCTTTCTGAGAGTGCCTTGCTGGCCCTTACAAGGTTAGCTGAAAAACCAACTGGAAGCCAGGAATCCAACTGTGTGAGCAGAAAGTAAGTTCCATTGCACAGATAGAAGATCAAGTTCATGGAAACACAATGGTGTTCTGGCAATCCCAGACGAAGGTCATCTTTAGGCAACATCCAGCTTTCTCAAAACCAGGCATAGTCTAGGTAGGCTAGCTGGCTTTATTTATTAATTTTTTAACACTCACCAGAATTTAAAAATGGGAATCTGAACTACACAATAATTTTTTTTTCTTTTCCATGTTATTTTTCCTGGCCCTTTTAAAAAGGCAAAAGAAGGGGCAAGTGGCATTGCTCAGTTAATACTTCAGGATATGAATGAAAACTTCCTCCAAGTAATACAGGAATCCCATGTGTAACTTTCATAGCCTAGCTCATTGATAAAGAAGCCAAAAAGTCTCTAGGATGACAGATGACTGCAGAGCAAAGAGACAGAAGGAATTTGGTACAGACACATGAAGACCTGTTGACTTTTTAAAGTTGCACTTAGAAAATATAAAGTTAGCTAGAATTTTTATTTATAAAACAAATAACTCCTTTTTTAAATCATCTATTCATGTAGCTCTCTGTTCTCCACACTTAGAATCCAAAGCAAGTCCTTGGGATAACTTTTGGAGAACAATACAACCATGAAAAAAAAAAAATCTCGGCCAAGAACACAGACTTCTTGTCTGTCTTCGGTATCCCAAAAGATTAGGGAAACCTGAAAATTTAAATAAGACTCTGATGCCAGATGCTAACTGTACCCCATTGGACTCTAGCCTGCCCTCCCCACCTGGAAGAGGACAAGGTACTCACCAGTCATAAGGGTGTAGTAATTGGGATAAGAGAGACTGGGAAAGTCTGGGGTCAAGTAATCCACTTTGACTCCTCTGCTCACAATCTCTTTGAAACCAGGCAAGGACTCCAGGGCCTCATCACTGATGTAGTCTGAGCGAAAACCATCCAGCAGAAACACCAAGAGCTTCCGGCGGGCGGAGGCTGGCTGTGCCAGGCTGAGTGCAAGGACCAGCAGGAGGGCCCCGAGCTTCACTGCCATGCTGCCAGGAGCCTGCCTGAGCTGGCTGGCACAGCCGTCCCCTTGCAAAGACTGAGGATGGAGAATCTGTAGCTATTCTCTCTTCTAGGGGCTGGACCTTGACTGCTGGCCTTCCTGAGCCAAGTTCACTTTCAGAATTTAAAGGTACAGCACCTCCTTTTAAAAACATCTATTCTCACCCTTCACTAAAAAGTCAGGAGACCAACTCCTTTGGTGAAGCTGAGTTCCCAAACAACCCAGACTTAACACCAGGAGAGAGAGTAAAACCTTATTATTTTGGGTGAATGTTCCAGAAATACAAGCACCCACAGAGAGGGGGAGTTTTAGAATATGACAGAAGTCAAGGCTAACTTTGCAGTTGGGCTCACCAAAGGGAGGAGACAAGGAGAGAGCGCTCTTTTAATTGCTGTTATCCCACATCTTTGCTTGATTTAAACTCTCTTACTGACTTTCTCACTAACAATTTAGGAATGTAAACCTCTTAACTCATATAAACAAGAGACAATAAAATTTGGTGGGCATATTTGTGAACTTTTCAGCAGCCTCTATTGCCATAGCATTTACAAATAGTTTGTGTCTCAGACACTTATTTTTTCGTATGCATCTAGATTCAGTGTTTATTGTTTTATCTTTCAAGTTGCCGGTGTCCAAACCCATCTGTAGAAGGAAGTGGTTCTCAGTGGAGTTGTAGAGCCAGAGAAAAAGTCTCAGAGTTGGATGATGGGGGTCATTACTGGTAGATGGGTCTGAGGGAGCGTTGCTCCAGGAGGGCCATGAGATAGAGAGCTGGAAGACTAGAGTTTGCGATGGAAATAACAATGCTAGAAATAACCATGCAGCCTTCACAACAAGAAGGACTAGGCAGAGGAGGAAATCGGAGGCTGACCAGGAAGTCAGTGAAGTGCAGCGAGGCACAGATGGGCAACAAGATTAAGCACTAAGTCCAGATTCCAGGGCTCCTTAGGGTGAGTCTTTCATTTGGCAGAAAATTAAATGTAAAGACTTATAAAGATGCATGGCCCATAGCAAGTGTTTAATGATGCTAACTATTATTAGCATTATAACGTTGCTTGGATCCTGGCGAACTCTGCAAGGCTCAGGGCAAAGCTCTACCACTGAAGGCAGATGGACATCAGCCACTCTGATCTTGATCAATTCTAAAATGCTTCTTCAACCTTTGTCTATTGTCTTTAGAGTCAATCTCTTACACGAGACCACTGGTCACTTTCTAAATTGTGCTACAAAAAAAGAAAACACATCGGCCAAATTACCATTCTCATTTTGGTTGACTTTGACAGGAATGAGATTTCTTTTTTAAAATAAAATTAATGCATTTTACAATTAAAAAATAAGAAAAAGAGAGGAGCTTATTCTTAATGTTTGGTAGTTTTAAAGCACAATGTTATTCATATTTATTTGATTTGTGGGGTTTATTATTGTTATTCCAAACAGAAAAATAAATGAAAGGGAATAGAGGAGGGAGGGAAGGAGGGGAAAGAAAGGGGAAAGGTGCTGAGGAGCTGACGGCTGCCTGGCAAGGACCACGATCACTAAAAAAAGAATGTCCTCTTGCAGTGAGTGAGGTCCGAGGAGGCAGCAGACACAGCTAGATGTGTGCTTGTCGGTTCCTGAGCAGTTCTGAGATTTTCAGACTGTGAAGCTGGCTTAATAGCGCAAGTTTCGCGTGACTCGCCATGGGGGCAGCCCCTGGGCTCCCTTAAAGAAAGATTAAGGACACCAAATTCTAAAAATGAATAGAACAGAAGCATCCACTTTCCTCCGCGGCTGGCTCCCTGAGTGCCTTACCTAGCTGTGGAGGAAGGCAATCCTTCACTAACTCACTCCAAATCAGAGTCCACAAACCCTCAGAGGTTCCCAAGCCTCCACAGATGGTGCTCTGCTGTGTCAAAGTGTGGGCACTGCTGACGTGCTCTGTACTGCTTTATGATGATCGTATCATGTCATGATGATGTCAAGACAGTTTCTCTAAAGTTGTGGATCAAAATTATTGTAAATAAGCATCTTTGACATATATACCAACATATGAAGACAGAAACATGTGGGATGGAATTCGAACCAAGGAAATCCCAGCATTGCTGATAGTCAGATACCTGATCTTATACCTTGTGACCCAGAAAAGGCTGAAAATGAAAGCTAAACGACAATAAGGAAAGGCAACAAGGAAAGGTCAGAAAATGTGGTTAATATTAAACGCCCAAAGTCCTGTGGTCCAAGATCTTGTTCGCCTATTATCTGGATGTCCTTAGTTGGGGGTGGTTATCAGCAGCTAATATGTAAGAGTGCTTCTTGCCACTTGTTTTTCAAGGGTTGACAATGCTATAAGGTCATTGCCCACAGGGGTTTAACCTAGATAACCCAGAAAAATGAGACATTTCCTTCAGAACCTAGAACCACCTTTGCCCTGACAGCTGCTCCAGCTCTTGCTACGGACATGCATGAGCTGTCAGGAATGTGCTGCTGAGATCCGCCAGCACTGTGGTGCCTCGCCTCCGTGGAGAGGCAGGCGAGATGAAAAAAAGAGTCCTAGGAGAAAGAAGACACGATTTTAGAGTCTGGATTCTGGCATGGTACACTTACATGATTCTGGGGAAATTGCCTTTCCACGCTTCAGTTTTCTTCTCTGAAAAGTGACGGAAGCCTTCAGTTCCTGTCCAGCTATAGAATCAATGAGATTTAAAAATTATGACCCAAGTCAGCCGCGTCAGCCAACATCAACCCTCACTGGTCCTGTTAATCCATCCTGGTTTTGTCAGGCCATGTTGGCCCATATCAACCCTTATCTTTTTTAAAAATCTGTAGTTTTAGCTCCTCAAAGTTGTTGCCCTAATCCATGACCATGACAAGAGTCCCAGCTGTCCTCTCTCTGGTCAGGCCTTGGAATTAGAATACATTTTAAAGGATTGGAGCCCTATGGAATATGTTCTAGATCCAGGAAAATAATCTTCTAAAATTAAGATGAAATAAAGACATTTCAGATAAATGAAAGCTAAGAGAACTATCACCAACGTACTTGTACTGCAGGAAATTCTAAAGAGTATCTTTTAGGTTGAAGGGAAATAATACGAAATAAAAATCAAGATCTACAGGAAGAGAATAAAGAGTATCCGAAATGGTAAATATATGAGTAAATATAAAAGATTTTATATTTTTCTTTTCTTAATTTCCTTTAAAAACCAACAGTTTAAAGTAAAAATAATAACATTGTGATGAGACTTATAACTTGTGAAGAATTAAAAGATATAAAAAACAGTAGCTTGAAATATAGGAGTAGGATATTTAAATAGAATTAAACTATTGTGGCTTTTTTCATTCATGAAGTGGAAAAAGTCAGATATAAATAATAAAATGTAAAGTGATCAAATGTTAAGTCTAAGTAGATTGTAATAAGGATGCCTATTATAATATAAAACAAACATTAAAAAATAATACAAAGACTCATAGCTAAAAAGCCAATAGAGAAGTAAACTATATCAACATAATAAAAGCCATATGACAAACCCACGGCTAACATCCTACCCAATGATGAACAGTTAGTTAGAAGCTTTCCCACTAAGATCAGGAGCAAGGCAAGGGTGCCCTCTCTCGCCACTCCTGGTCAACATCGTGCAGGAACAGGAGAATGCTCAGCCCAACAAGGCAAGGGGGAAAAGTATCCAAATCAGAAACGAAGGTAAAATTTTCTCTGTTTGCAGGCGATATGATCCTATATATAGAAAATCCTAAAGACTCCAAAAAAAAAAGTTTAAAAAACTATTAGAACTAATAAATGAATGTAGTATAGTTGCAGGATACAAAAGTAACATACAAAACCAGTTGCATTTATCTACATTAACAATGATTTATCTGAAAAAGAAGTAAACAATCCCATTTACAATACCATCAAAAATAATAAAATACTTAGGAATAAATTTAACTACAGGGGTAAAAAATCTGTAGACTAAAAATTATAAGACATTGATGAAAGTTGAAGAAAACACAAATAAATGGAAAAATATTCCATCTTCATGGATTAGAAATGTCCATACTACCCAAAGCCATCTCCAGAGTCAATGCAATACCTATCAAAATTCCAATGACATTTTCCACAGAAATTTAAAAAAAAACTAAAATTAATATAGAACTATAAATCACTCTGAATAGCCAAAGCAATCCTGAGAAAGAACAAAACTGGAGGCATCACACTTCCTAATTTCAAACTTTATTTCAAAGCTATAGATAGTAATCTAAATAGTATGGTATTGGCATAAAACAGATACACAGACCAATGGAACAGAATTGGGAAATAAACCTACACATATACAGTCAACTAACATTTGACAAGAGAGCCTAGAATACTCAATAGGAAAAGGATAGTCTCGTCAACTAATAATGATGAGAAAACTATCTTTATATGCAAAATAATGAAACCAGACTACTATCTTACACCACTAAAAAAAAACTAACTTAAAATGGATTAAAGATTTAAATTTAAGACCCCAAACCATAAAACTCCAAGAAGAAAAAATAAGGAAAAACTCCTTGACATTGGTCTTGGCAATGACTGTTTTGGATATGACACCAAAAGTGCAAACAATAAAAGCAAAAATAAAGAAGTGGACTACATCCAACTAAAAAGCACAGCAAAAGAAACAATCAACAAAATGAAAAGGCAACCTACAAAATAGGAGAAAATATTTGCAAACCATCTATGTGATAAGAGGTTAATGCCCAAAATACATAAGGGACTCAACAACTCAGTAACAAAAAACAAAACAAAACAAATAATCTGATTAAAAAATAGGCAAAAGACATGAATGGACATTTATCCAAAGAAGACATACAAATGGCCAACAAGTACATGAAAGATGCTCAATGTCACAAATCATCAGGGAAATGCAAATCAAAACCACCGTAAGATATCATCTCAGACCTGTTAAAATGGCTATTATCAAAAAGACAAAAAATATCAAGAATTGGTGAAGATGAGGAGAAAAGGGAACCCTGGTACACTGTTGTTAGGAATGTAAATTGGTGCAACCACAATGGAAAACAGCACGGAGTTTCCTCGAAAAAATTAAAAATAGA